TGTGTGTGTGTGTGTGTGTGTGTGTGTGTGTCCGGTACTAACCTGTGACGGTGCGCCTGGTTGCAGGTAAATCGAAGACGAAGCTGGAGCTATGGCACCACAGGTAAGTCTCCCTGGCCTCCGCCAACCCTCTCTCTCTCCCCAACGCTACTCCAGCTCCTAATAGCACCCAGCGCTGAAGGCTACTCCTAACGCTACTACTACTACTGCAGCGCTCCTCCAGAGTGCTGCTGCCGAATTCTGAAGACTGCCTCCTGCCTCCTGCACGTGAAGTGCCCGTAAACTGCCTGGGAAGTCCCTACGAACTACCTGCAGCCTGCAGGGCGGGCCAGTTCTATATAGTGCTGGCCGTCCGGGAGGCTGCTCTTGCCAATGCCGAAACGTGCCAGACCCTGGAGTTGAAGTTCAAAAAAAGGTTGTCTTGAAACAGGCCCAAAAATGGCCTGTGCTAAACCCTGGTCTGGCGCCTGAATTTCAGGGCAGGTCGACTTTATGAGGGCCTGAAAATGGCCCTCGTTTTCAGGCTTTTAGGCTGAAACGACACAGGGCCTGTAGGGCCCTTATTTTCCGTCTGGCCGGGCCCTGCAGGCCCGTGTGGCTGCGCAGTATGCCAAACACAAGCTGAAGCTCGGTTCAAGACACTACAAGAACTGGCCAGCCTCCTCATTCGGAGAGTGCTCATTGGGTGCTCATTCGCATGAAGTGTGGAAGTGCTGGTGCACTTGTGCGCGATTGTGAGGGGCAGAGCGCTGAAGCCAGAGTGCTGCACTGAGAGAGAGAGAGAGGGAGAGATAGTGCTGGCAGGGAGAAGGCAGCCATAGCTGCACCAGTGCAGAGTGTTAGTAGTTTAGTAGTAGACTTCAGAGGGGCTAGTAGGCATAGGAGTGGGTGTATTCAGAGTTGGTCCTTGAGTAGTAGAAGTTGTGCGAGTGCATGCAAGTAGGGAGAGAAGACACAGGGAGGTAGTAGACAGAGAGAAGACTGAGAGAGAAGAGAGAAGAGCTTCGGAAGAGTTACATACGTGAGTGGAGATACTGGATACTTGGGTTTGCGCTGTTGAGCGCCTGTGACTGAAACTCTTAATTACTTGTATGATAATTTGCTGAAACTCCGAGCTGCGCTTACCTGGTCTTCATCTCTCTGGCCTCCAGTGTGAACTTCGTGTGATCTCATTCGTGCATGATGTGTGATTGTGTGCGCTCATTGGTGGTGAACTGAGAGGTTCGTTGCATAGAGGCCTCCGAAAACCAAGATCAGGTTACCAAGGGCCTTCTGTGTCAAATCAACAAAACGGTAATCTTTTTTTAAATACATGGGCCGAAAAACCTTGTGTTTGGTCAGAGAAGGGTAACAAAAGTACGTGGGTGAAAAATTGCACAATAGCTGGACCAGAGAGAACTCACAGAGTCACAGACCATCTTGAATCTTGACCAGCTCCTGGAGGGAACGCTCATGGAAACTGGTCTTGTTGACAAAGGACTCATAGCAAGGGAAGATGGACAAGAATGAAGTCCCACGTCCTCCACCTCCTACTCTGGCAAACTGCACTACAGCTTAGAAGGAGGAGGAGGAGGAGGAAGGAGAAGAGGAAGAAGAGGAAGAAGAGGAAGAAGAGGAAGAAGAGGAAGAAGAAGGGAAGGCGGAGGGAAGGAGGGGAGAAGGAGGAGGAGTCAGGACGAAGGAGGAATGAGGGAGGAGGGAGGAGGGAGGATTGAGGAACAAGGACGGAGAAACAAGGAGGGAGGAACACGGATCAGGGAGGAGGAAGGAGAAGGAAGGAAGGGGAGGAAGGAGGAGGTGGAAGCAGGAGGAAGAAACAGGAGGAGGATGCACACACAGGATGCACGGGAGGGTGAGGAGGAGGACACAGAAGGAGGGAGGAGGAGGAGGGAGGAGGAAGAAGAATAGGAGGAACGAGAGGAAGGACGAGGAGGAAGAAGAGGAGGGCGCGAGGCGAAGAAGAAGCAGGAAGGTGGAGGAAGGAGGAGGGTGGAGGGAAAAGGAGGATGAAGAAGGAGGAGGAGGAGAAAAGAAGAAGAAGGAGGAGGAGGAGGAGGAGGAAGAGGAGAAGAAGAAGAAGAAGAAGAAGAAGAAGAAGAAGAAGAAGAAGAAGAAGAAGAAGAAGAGGAAGAGGAAGAAGAAGTAGAAGTAGTCGTCAAGGATAACAAACACGAGCAGAATCCATCTGTCCCACAGGGGGTGAGAGATCGTAAGACAATAATAAAACCGCATTGCTTCCCACCAAACACCGCCACATTTCGCAATCCCTCCATGTGTTTCAACTTGTGCGTACCGAAGTCTCCTCAGGAGGTCCACCCACCACCCATAATGTGACAGAGGAAACAGAAGCACCCTCCCTACTTTATAGCTTACGATTGCGTCATCATGTCCCACACACCTTCCCACACTTTCCTCTATTCCTCCTCCTCTTTCTCATGACCCCTACCATCACTCCCTTGTCACCTCGCTGACACAGCTGACACATCTGATCACTCACTTCTCTGGTTGTGCTCACACTCCATCCTTCCATAGTCCAAAGGCAGAGGAGTAGACACACATGCTTCGAGAATCACCGGGCTCCACCAGAGTAAACTGCACATCGCCCAATGCGAGTAAGAGGGCAATCTGTCTGCTCCTATATGCCAATATATGCACACTGGATTCACGCTCTCTGCTAGGAGCCCATGTTCCAATGACTGCTGCCATGAATCCGATGAGCAGCAGCACTTGGATCACAAGATGCCAACCACTATAGCCTTTCCCAGGTCGAAATCCCCGGTCGGCCAGCAGCTTTTCAAATCCAACGGTTAGCGCAGGCGTAGCCTGTAAAGAGCATCCATTTTTTTTATTTCCAGACACAAATAGAGACTGCCCATCCACAACGATCTACAACGCAGACAACTGCAAATCGTACCAGGCATCCGACGGTGCCCAAAAGAAACCAGACACGCCACCATATTAACCTAGATCGCAGCCTTAAAAAACAGTCATTTTCTCCCCTTTTACCCAAGCCCCAAGCAGAAAGCCGGAAATCAACCATACCCGTGCAGAATAACGCGCCTGTGCCCAGAATTGCAGGGAAAAAGAGCTTATTTGCTACAATCTGTCAATTCTTTGTTTTTTATTTTTCTGAAATTTTCTCCGTATTTTTTCCAGCTCTCAATACACCTGATCTGCTCAACAATCCAAACAAAACCAGATTTGGAAGACAATTGGCGCGGTAGCATACTCTCAGGTCCACTCGGACCAAATGTGCCAGACAACCCCTTCAAACAGAAAAAGTGACATCAGTAGATTCAGTACCCATCGGTGCTATCTAGCCTTCCAGCTGAGGTTGGGGTAGACCTGGGCTATTAAAGATCTCTAGGGACCACCCACCTCATTCTTATTTTTATTATTTTAAACAGACAATCTTGCGAATGCGGAAAAGAATAAGAATAAGAAAATAATAATAATAATAATAATAATAATAATAATAATAATAATAATAAGAAGAAGAAGAAGAAGAAGAAGAAGAAAAAGGAAAAGAAGAAGAAGAAGAAAAAGAAAAAGAAGATGAAGAAGAAGGTGGGGACGAAGATGGTTGAAGTCCAGAAACAGAGGCATGACGTAAGAAAGGAGAGGAGAAACAGAAGTTGATTTGCTTGTTTGATTTGACAAATTTCAGGACCCATGACCCACGCCACAACTTGAGACTAGCTGCAGTCACTGACTGGATGGACAACGACTACACAGTTTTTCAGTGGGGCTGCAATAAGCTGAGCCTGATGAACGGCTTAGTTGCTACCTTCCGTACCAATAGGCGATACATCTCCATTCACAGCTCTGCTTTGACAGTGGGGGAGGTCTACACCTTTTATGTCAATGTGACTGCATCCGTAATTGAAGGGAAAACTTATTCTGCATCACTCACTGTTGAGGTGAGAGCTGACCGCCACTGGGTTCTGGCCCTTCTGGGTGATGATTTTCTTGCTGACTGCTTTTGAATGGTCATCATTGTCATCTATGGACCTCACGTGCTGACCCCTTTTCGATTTCTTTTCAGCGAGTAGCACTGCAGACTTGTGCTTGCATTGGATGCTTAACAACAATTTCATTAAAATGGACAATTATATGTCTTGAACCAGGGTTACTCGACCGAACGTTCGGGGGGCCCCGGGCTGGCCCCCGAACGTTCGGGCGTTCGGGGTCCCGTTCGGGGGCCGAACACCTCCAGGTTCGGGCCCCGCCAAAAATTGTTTTGGGGCCTAAACATACGTTTTTTTTTTCTGCATTTTCTTTTGTGAGTTCTCTATGATGTAACCTACACGCCTATAAATTTTGAAGCCATTCTGCTCACCCAAAAATACATTAAAAATCGTCAAAGATGGGGGTGTCAAAACGTGCTCGCCCACTCACTATTTTTGTTTTTTTTCACTTTTTACTTTTGGTTTTCACTTTATTTCGGGGCCTAAAAACTTTAATTATTTTTTGAAAAAAAATTAATGAGTTATTGATTATGTAAACTACATATCCGTAAATTTTCAGGGCATTTGTCAATGCCAAAAAATAATTAAAATCGGCAAAGATGGCAGTGTCGAAATGGTGCTGGCACACTCACTCATTTTAATTCTCTTTTTATTTTTTCTTATTTTTATCATAGTGTTTATTTGCTGTATTTGATTTTTAATTCAAATTTGGTAAAGCATTTGGATGTAGTGCCCATGCAAATGTTGTTTAGTGTAATTTTCTCCATAACATATGTTTTTTTCTGAATTTTTTGAAAAGTTCTTTTTTTTTTTTTTTTTTTTTTTTTTTTTGTCTGCGTTCGGCCCGAACGGTCGAACGCCTTCCGAAGGGGTCCCGTGCGTTCGGGCGTTCGGCCCGTCCCGAACGCCGCCAACCCTGTCTTGAAAACCATTGAAATCTTATGTTTTGGCCCAAAATTCATGAAATTGAGGGTACAGCTTTCTGAAAATGCCCTACCCCCTCGATGTATCTGGATTCTGGACTTAGCACAAGACCACATACATCCAGGCTGGAAAATGCTGGAGCTACTGGATGTATGCGGACTTTTGTCGGGTCCAGATACATCGAGGGGAAGGCGTTTTCAGAACGCCTTACCTTCAATTTGATGATTTTTGGGCCAAAAAATGAGATTTCAATTTCATTCGAAAAATATAGTGTCCTTTTTTTTTAACAAAATCGTTGTAGCCTTGCTTGACAATCCTATGGCACATTGCCCAGCATTGGGTCAGTGCCGGATAGGTTGTTCTTCATAATGTGTCATTGATGCAGCAGATGGACTGGACCTTTTTTCCTGTATGGCCAAATATTGGCACCTTTGGCCACAGGTAGAACATTTTGCCGAGTCTTAGGGACAATCCCTTCTCCTTTTCTCTTTCTTTCTCAATGGACAGGTCGTAATTGTGCGATAAGCACACATCATGGAAGATCCAACCTGTCTCTATGCATGCCAAAAGAAACAGGATTAGTGGTCCCCACCGACTCCCCAGAATGTGAAAGAGCCACAGCCATAAGATCTTTTTTCAGGTTTATTTTTTTGGTTCCTAAATGGATGAAGGCATATTTCATATTGATCTTGCAGGATTTGTGGTTTAAATCTTAGACACACCGAATTCACGTTGAATGTGTGTGTCTGTTTTTAGAAAAAGCACCCCAAATTCTCTCTCTCATTCCCTCCACAAATCATAGCAGACCATCTATAACAAAAAAGTATAGATAGACAATATAATAAAAAATGCAAGGTTGGCCACATTTGTGTGGTTCAGCGCTAAGTGCCCACACACCTGAATGCCGCCAAAGCGACACATTTGCACTTATACATATATGATATATATATATATCGTCAAATAGAACTGCCCGGTAAACCGTAGGCAGAGAGGGAGAAGAGGACAACAAACGAGGGGCTGTGACAAAC